CGGACGGAGGGAGGGGGGCTTCAGCCAAGTTTCTTTAATTATAAAGCCTGCAATGATCATTTCCCGCACGCGCGCACACACTCCACCCACCCTCTCCCCATCCCCCGCCGTTTCCTTCGGACGTCCAACCTCCTCCACGCTTCCATCTCGCCTTCGCCTGCTGGGGTTGCATCTTTTTGGCATCGCTGGCTGCCAGCTGAGGGACTGCCAGCAAGTTTCGTGGCTGGACGGCGCTGGGTAGGAAAGGATGGATGGGGTGGAAAAGGGCTGGAACGAGGACGGGCAACATCGATTATCTCATCTTCCCGAAAGAGAAGTGAAAACCACAGAAGAGGTGATGTCAGATCCACCTCAGGGAGGGTGGACTGAAAAAGGCCTTCTGGATTCCCCTCCTGGTAACAGGACAGCATTTCAGCCAAGTTGCCCCAGGGTTGCTCCCTCAGCCCTCAGACGAACTCAGGTGAACTTGCACGCCTGTTCGGTTCTTCTAGCAGAAGGACGGGCCCTGCTGGATCTCATCCTGTCCGTTCTCCTATGTCTAGAAATGGTTTGTGGGATGGGGCTGTGCCAAGGCAAGGCCTGCCCTTCCTTTGTCCCCCAGTGATCATTATTCCAAAACCAACTCCATTGAAACGCAGCTAAGAGCCGTGGAGAGTGGACTAATTCTTTGTGATTAATTTGTCTGATGCTTTTTTATAGCTGCCCCACCAAGGCATGCCACAACTTGTGGCAGTGAATTCCATGGTGAATTAAGTACTCCTTGTGGGAAGAAGCACTCTTATTTCTAAGCCTTGAATATCCTATCAGCCTCATTAGATGAAGTGTCTAAGAAGTTTAAGGGGAAATTTGTGGCTTGTTTCTTTATTACACTTGGTCCTGCCTTTCCTACAAGGAGCTCAAGGTGGCATACATGGTCTTCCCTATTTTAATCCTCACACCAACTCTATGGCTGTGCTAGCATAATATGTTTGCCCATGGTTAAGCGAACACAGTCACTGAGCTACAAACTTGGCCAACCACATGTTAGGCTACTGTGTTGGCCACTTAGTCTAGGAGTTTGACTTAGCAAACAGGACTTATGTATCTGAATGTCATACTGAGTAGGGATATAAATCAGCTCTTTCCAGTCTTAGCTGCTGGAGTTTGTGTTATATAACTATAGCCATTAATCTGTGCATGGAGATTTCATTGCTTTAAAAGTAAAGGTGTAAAGTGGGCATCTTTCTTTTTTTTTAGTGACCACGTTTGAATTTTGAATAGCACACCTATAGTGAGGTCAGGACAAAGACATGATCAGCATCAGAGAAAAAAACCCATGTAATGAAATTCAATTGTATTCATTAAATAAGGCGAATTGCTCTCCATTTATTTAATAATTTTTCTTTTCTTTTGCATTAAAAATGATCAAGTAATTAGAATTTGGTACATAGACTTTAACTTGGTGCACAGGGAGACCATTCAGGCTGATTTTTTTCTCATTCAAGTGGAGTGGAAGTTCTATCTCTCCAGTGAAATTTTTTTTTTATCCAATTCTGGATCTCAGTGCAGTGCGCAGCACAACATTCCAAAAGGGGAACAAATTATTTTTTGCTTGTGCTTGCTTAGGAAAAATAGCTTGGATAGTGGGGAAGAAGAGGAGGTATTAAATTCAGGGATTTGTAGATATGTCCTCAAATCAGAGTGGACCTCAAATGCAATTTTTTGGATGTGTGGCAAGATCTTGGAGAAAGAGACTAAGAGGAAGAGACAAAAGTATATGTTTGCTGTCACTCCAATCACATCTCATTGTTTCCCAGATTCTGTTTAAGAAGTTCCATGTGAAGCGACTTCCTCTTGCAAATTGGTAAATTAATTTGGTGCTTTTCAGTTCTTCTAATCAATACAAAAGAAAACCAAGGCAACATATAACAAATTTACAAAATAGACACACATTATGTTAGAGTCTCCTAACATACCAGCCATAATGCCTGGGGAAAATACCAGATCTTAACAGCCTTGTAGAAAGCCAAGAGGGTCAGGACCCTCTGAATCCTGGGAGAGGGTGTTGTTCCATAGGGCTGGCACTGCAACAGAGAAGGCATGCCTTCTTGGTCCTGGAAGGTGACACTGTCTAACAGAGGGGACTTGGAGGATGTCCTCCCTGTCAGATCTGGTGATTTTTACTGTATTAAAATCTAAATATTGTGTGTGTGTATTTGTCTTCTTGTCCTTAGAAGCCATAGTCCATCTCCCGCTATTCCATTTGGCCAAGGAAATGAAGGTGAAGGATGGAAGTGAATCTCAACTGAATTGCAATGGCAAATTTTTACTGGGAGCTTTAAGAAAGTTGTAGATGTCACCCATGCGAATGATAGCTATGATATAAAGACTGTATAATTTGAAAGCTTGTGCACTATGATATTTAATGTGCTTCATCCTCTCATAACATCTACTTCTCCTGTGAATATCTAATTTAAAATGCTTTAGATGCCATTATGTATGCATGATTTTTCCACATGAGATAATGGGGTCATGGACTTCTATAGTTTCTGATTCACAAGTGATTCTAGTCCTGAAGAACTAGAAGTGATGTACTCCTTACCACCTAGCCTCTGGAATAGGTTATCCACCAAGATGATCAAAGCATTCTCAGTACAACATCCTAGATGAAATGGGTTTAATCAGTTGAATTCAAATACAATTTGAACTGTGAATCTTCTCCATCACTTATCCAGAAATGGAGTGTGAGACTGGCCTATATTACAGAGATCTTCTGGATACAGGGAAGTTTTCTCAGTACATTTCTTGTAATAAGCTTCTTCAAGAAGGCAGGAACATATTCCATCCTCAAAGAGGCATTGACTGCACCCCTTAAGCATGGGTCAGTCCCAATCTGGCCAGAAGTGACAAAGGTTAATCAATCAGGTGGTGGTCCCTGTCTATCCACATATCCTGACAATGCCCTTGAGTCCTGCAAGTGAAAAGAAACCATGTGAACAGGACAAATAGTTGCCAAGTTGTTTCATATACCATAACCCAGTCTTCTACTCTTGCAGAGCTTTATAGCGACAGCCAGTCAATGATTGACCAGAGATGTCTGTTCATATAAGGGTCCACATGAGTGGTCTATTCACATAAGCAGTGGGCTATTTAAAAATTTCCAGAAAACCATAGCTCTTCTTCCATGGAAGAATCATAGTATGGCCTTATTTATTTCTGGCTCATCTGGCAAGTGGGAATATCAGATTTTTTTTCCCAACATAGGTACTAGAGAAATGAATGGACTAAAGACTGCTATAGAGTTCTGTGTACCAGATGTGCTCTTCTTCCATGGAAGAATCATAGTATGGCCTTATTTATTTCTGGCTCATCTGGCAAGTGGGAATATCAGATTTTTTTTCCCAACATAGGTACTAGAGAAATGAATGGACTAAAGACTGCTATAGAGTTCTGTGTACCAGATGTGTATAAATGGTTAATTATAATAATGAGCAAAAATGATTTTAAAAAATTGTACTACTTACATGAAACACATTCATTCTTACAAGGAAATATAATATCATTAAGATGCCTCCTAAGCAATATGATATGTGATTAAATGCTACTGAAATAGGATCCAGCAGAACAACCCTATTTGTTCTAATGGTGTGTACATAAACCACTCCCTTTTTTACTAATAAAGTAACTAGAAAGTTGGTGTGGTGTGATCATTTCTCAACCTGTATGAAATGGATATGGAGATGCGCTAGAGATAATTAAGATGAACTCTGATTGACATAGATAAATAATCATATTGCTTGAAATGTAATTGTTTCAGATGCAAAGAAAAAGGTACTCATATCTAGAATCAGGTGGGTTGAACAGTGTAACTAGTTAGTAACAATGGCAACACATAATGGTGATCAGGTATTGCTCTAGGGAAGCCCCTCTTGATAGCATTTGATGAACAAGCATGAGAAAGAAAAGAAACAACAAGAAGAAAGAAGTATTTAATTAAAAGTCTTCCTCCAAGAGCAGAGAGTCTATGAATCATTTGCTACATTCACATTTTAATTCATGCAAGCTATCTCCTATGCATTACTAAAGTATCATTAGATTCCTCTTGCTCAGAGCCACAGGTTTTGGTTCCAGTTCAGTCCTTTGAGAATTTTACAAATGTAGAGAAATACATCCCATATTCTTATTACAAATGTTTTTTGTGCCAGTTAGCAAAGTGATAGACTGATACATGACTAGACTTGATTATTTATCTTAAGTTCATTCTAATCTACATGATGAAATCAAGTCCATTTCAGACAAGGCATAGTAGATATTTCCCTAAGAAATTGAATATAAAATAATGTGTTTCTTCATGGATGGTTTCTATGCTGCTAATCAGAAGACTGCTTGACATTTTTTTTAATTAAAAGGAAAAGACAAAGGAAGCAATTGGAAAATACATGTGAATTACAAGCAAGAAATATCACCTGTCCTTCCTGCCCTTTAAAAATACATTCTGAGGATGAGACCAGGAAATTGCATGATAAAATCTTCATCTGGAAGGCTCTTTTAAAGCCAAATAATATCTAACTATAGATGTACCTCTACACTAGTACAACTTGCCCTTAACATAGGGATCTTTCTGTCTCTCACTAGAAATTAA